ATTTCTGTTTGACAGCCAATCTTAGCTGATTACTAGTTTTCTTTGTGGCTGTGAACATTTCTCCTGTAGAGAAGGCAAAGATCTCATTAGCACCAGCTAATAGATAAAAGTGACCCATCTGCAGGCTGGAGTATTTGAGCTCCAGATTTCTTTTATTTCTTGATTGCTACTTTGCGTGTCAAATGTGTTCAGGTTTTTGTTAATGTATAAAAGGAAAATATTATATTCTTATATAAGCCTTTCACTAGAACACAGATTTGACCTGTAGCTTATTAGTACTGGTATTATCAAGGCTCATTAAGAACCTATAGCTGCTGACAGAGGAAAAAATTATGAAGAGCACTCTTTCACCTATTGAGTTGATAGAATATTCACTAAGTAAGAAGAGACACAATTACTGGAAAAAAAAAATCCCCAAGGTGAAATCTGGTGCCTCAACCCGTGGCTGACATACATGCCAGTGAGTGTCAGCGAGTGGTTCAGAGCACAGATTTGAGCCACACCCTGTGTGGTGAGACTTTGGGGCTGTGAGGAAGTTCCTTGCAGAAAACCTTTAATTTCAGTACCCTTAAGGCGAATCCCCCAAGGGAAGAAACCCACAGACTCATTAGAGACTTGCATATCATTTGTGATAAATAATTATATGAATTATGAATGACAAGTGTGACACTTTCTTCCAATATTACAATCTGTCACATGCCTTGTTATAATGTAGACAATTAATATTGCAAAAAATAATATGCCATTGCTAAACCATTGGGAAGTCCCTGTATCACCAAGTATCCTCCTACCAGTTTTTAGTAAAGAAAGAAGTACTCCTAACATCATGTATGATGAGTCTTCAAAAAATCACGAAAAATGAGTATTATGACAAACTATGCATGGGTTTCAGAATTTTTTGCACCAAAATAATCTTTTAATTCCATTATACACACTTTTTTAAAAGAACAAAACCCTTGTACAGAATAGTATGCTATCAGCACACATAATCATAAATGTTAACCCCTTGGTGTGTATATTTCTAGATTTATTTTTCTACACTTTTCTATTACATAAAAGTGTTTCATAACTCTTTGATAGTTTTTTTTTCCCCACACCAAGTGTATCATGAACACTCTACTATGCCAAGTCTATTTTTTTTTTCCTTAGGGAAATAATTTGATAGGAAAACAAAGGGAAGATGCATGAAAGCACTGTAGTGCTCAAATGGAGAAGGCAAAACTTAAGGTTGAAAGGGAGAGAACTTCCTTGATTAGGTGGTTCCTGCACCCAGTCATGCTCATACTGCTGACTCATCAGGACTTGGAAGAAAGTCAAGTCCCAAGTTTTGCTTAGGGGTGGCATACATTTCTGGAGTTGATGTAAAAGTGAACCTGACTACAAATCCTTTCTCCCGTGGGCTTACAGCAGGTAGTCCTTTAAGACTTTAGTAAAAACAGACCCTGCCCACTGGATGAAGAGTTATATAAACAAGTCATAGGACTTCCAAATTTTTAATAAACTCTGCTTTCTTGTTTCTATCTTTTTAGACTTAATACTAAGCATAATTCACCCCTAGTGTTTGAATATTTCAATTTTTGCTGCTCATCTTTCTGTGACGTCCTTTCTCCAGTTTTGGATGCAGCTTTGTTCATTTTCCCCAACATCTCATGACCTTGGGTTTTCTTTCTGAGAGATTCAGGGGTTGCATTGTTTCCAACTTCCTCCTCTGTACCGTAATTGATATAACTTGTGTCACACCTGTTTTGGAGTTTGTTGGCTTGTTAGGTAACAAGTAACTGATTTCATGAACGCCTTAATGTTAAAGTTGTCATGGATACTGGTAGATCCAGATCTTAATGGTTTCAGAATGTATGTGCATTGCTGGATAGAAATTTTGTGGTGATACAGCCTTAAAGCAAAAGTGGTAAAACTTTAAGAAGCTAGTAGGGAAGATCATGTGGGGCAGGTCATTTTTAGCTATTTTGCCTAAGTGCTAGACATAGTACTCATGCTTTATGTTGTTTCCTGCTTTAAATCAGAGAAAATTTAGCAGGTGAAAAGGAACATTTGTAGCCTAATATTTTTTGAAGATAATTTCACACCCCTTCTGGATTCCTTTATTCAATCTTGGCTGCCACAGTCAGGCAGACAGAAAGTGCAAGGACATCTTTTTTTCTTTCATTGTAGTGGCAATTTTTAGCAACAGATAATAGTGGAAGATAATTTGAAGACTGGATAAAGTTGAACAGAATTGAGTCCCTTTCCTCAAAACTAAGTTGCCTCCATTTCCTCTTTGGGTTGGCTGTATGCCATTCTCTTTTACAATCTACCATATAGCCATTCTGTAAATTCATTTAATTTGGACAAGAAGACTTGAGTCTGGCTACTCAAGTCATTCTTTAATTTTTTTTTTTTGTGGTACATTAGAGGATATTTTTCTAGGTTATTTGCAATAACAGTAGTTAAAATTTTCATGGGCAATGAGGAATGTTTCATGGTGATGATGAAGATGCTTTCAACTTTCTGTGTAATAAGCTAGGATCACTGATTAGCACGTTCAAGAGCAGTGGAATATGTTCTGTTGCTTAAAGAATTTTATTTATATGGTTAATATTGATATTGCTTAAGGATTATGAATGATCATGTGGAATTTACTCAACGAGATTTAATTTCAATCTTTGCTCCGAATCACAAATTCAGGGGACATCATGAGCAATCATTTACTTTATTCTTCACTTCCAAACAAGATGTTTTCCCTCAGTCTCCTCATGACTTGCCTGAAATATTGGGGTCTTCGAGTGAGACACTTCCAAGGTTATACAACATTTCAGTAGCCTAAAGTTTCCTTCTTTCAATTTGAAGTTGGATTTTTGTAGATGAAATACATATGAGTAAGCCTTTAAAGAACTCCCAGTCTTGAATATCTTGTTTTAATTCTTCAATGCAATTTTACTAAAACATAATTTCCAAATATATGTTACCTCTTTGAGCACTAGTATCATGAAATATTGTGCAGGAAAGTTTCCACATTTACAAAATTCGGCCAACTCTGGATACTATTAGATCCTCTTGAAAATGGTCTTTTGTGAATATCATAGTCTCTGCAAGAGATTATTGTTTTTTTTTTTTCCTGGTTATTAGCTATGTCTTTTCAGTGTTCAAAATGATAGTTATGCTCCTCAAGTCCAGGAAACATGGTTGTGCCTCATAGTGCTGGGCATATAAACAATCAGTAAGTAATTGAATTAATGCACAAACATATATTTATTCAGCATAGGACTCCAAAAAAATTAATCACACAAAAGCTATGTTTTGACGCATTTCCAAGTTTGGGAAAAGTAAGTGTCCCAGCTGGTAATAACTAGACAGAACCCTCACTTTCTTTCAAATGCATTATCTTGTTATTTCTTGATATTAGAACAGGTATGAGAAAAGGGTCAGAATGATATTGCCCAACTTATAGATGAAGTAGTTGCAGTTCAGAGTTTAAATAATCTTCTCAAGATTGGAAGATGCCTGTCAGAGCTGGACACACCCCTTGTCTCAATGATTTTCAGTCAAAAGCCAGGAGCCTGGACTGGACAGCCAGGGGGCAGAAGAAATCTGGGTGAGGAGAAAATTTACCAGAGTGAGGGGCAATCAAAGGGGAGTTAGATTTTTGAAAGATAAAGATGAGCTGTGACTCTGGGCAGATCTTGAGCTGCAGAGGGGGTGGGCAGCTAGAGACTTTTCCTGCAGCTTTCTGAAGCTTCCAGGGAGAGGAATTTGACCATCCATAAGCATGCAGGCAACAGCTGCATCCAACCGGCCGCTGAGAGGGTCACAATTCCATTGAAAAGTCCCACGTAAGCTTTGAAAGGGCAACTAGGAACAGGTTGAAGCTATCTCTTTTGAAGAGATTGGGATGCGTCCTTGGATGTCTGCTGATTGTCCTGTCTCCCAGCAGTGCTGTGTTCCACTTGCAGGCTGGTGTGTTATGCTTCAGATTGCTTCCCAGAGGGCTGAACAGTGACATCTATTGGTTCAATTTGAAGTAAGCAAGTTCAAAAAAGATTGAAATATCTGCATTAGTACTTTAGTCTCATTTTAAAATAAATATATTGTTATTTCAGAGGAAGTTATGACAGCGACAGTATGCTTTATCTCAGGAACAGCACCCCATTCAATGGTTCAAGATTAGGGATATTGTGTGACTTTGATTTTTCCAGAACACCCATCAAAGAGTTTTTGTAAACCTTTTAATAACACAATTCAATAGGAACAGTACAAAGACCTTTGGGTTTTGGGAGTTCCTCATTGCTCAAGATTTCTTTGGGCACCAAGAATCCGTACTTTGAAAGAATGTATTTGAAGGGGTGGTGGTAAGAAATAATGAAGTTCCTTTTTGCTTTACAAAACAGGAGAAAAAAAACCCTTACAACCAAGTTTGAATTATTTTCTAAATGGCCCCAAATCTTAAAATAATTAAAAATCCCAACTCCTTGCTATGGTTCATGAAGCATCTGTGTTACTTTGTGCTTAATGCTCTGTTTCTTCTCTTTGTGAAATTGTGCAGCTTACTGAACATATAACTGATGGAGATGCTTTTCTGGACAATTTGGATAATTAAGAAATACTGATAAATGAAAATACATGCAAAGTGTAAACACTCCATGCAATATCTTCCTAGTCAGACCTTTACAAAATTGCTAAGACATAGTAAATATGGACCATTTGTCTTTCAAATTCTTATTCACCCAAGGTGGATGTGGAGTCCCTCACAGAGGCAGTAAGAGGCAGCAGAGAATGTGCAAGCCTGGAAGATATGCAGATTGAAATACTGACTATTGACATATTTGGACTGCGAAAATATAAAAGTGTTCACCTGTTATTAATTAAAGAATCACGAAGGACTCTGGAAACTTGCTTTTTGGTTGAATACAGAAGACATCATTATGAGATGATTCATTCTGACTTATTCAGGTCTGTTGAGATTTCTACTGATTTGCTTTTCAGACCCCTGGTGGCTTGAGAACAGCATGGCGTTAAACCACACTGCCCTGCCCCAGGACGAGCACCTGCCACACTACCTTCGAGAGGGGGATCCCTTTGCTTCCAAACTTTCCTGGGAAGCGGATTTAGTGGCGGGATTTTACCTTACAATAATTGGTAAGCTTCTTCAATTCTTCTGTGTGAACACTGCTTTTAGCAAATTCATATGCTGTTTGATTTTGCACAAAGTAATCTAACTTGTGTGGATATTTTGGTGGAGGTGAAGAGTGGGAGGAAAGCAGACGGGGTAGCACTACGACCTTCAATTAATGTTCCATAGAATGACTCTCTATAATCTTCATTATTAGGCATAAAAATTTCATGAATAATCCAAAGAATGGTTATGGCAAAATCATCTGTTTTGAAACTGTATTTCATTTTGTTTACTTTGCTACTAGGTTTATCTTCTGAATGCCAGAAATAATGATAATGATATCTTATTTAAAAAGAACTTTTTTAAAAAAAATGCTTCTGATGAATCATAAGTTTTATACTCAGAATGGACTTTCGAAACCATCAAGTTTAGTCTCCTCTTCTCATAAATGAGGGAATTCTGGCCTAGAGCTATAGAGAAAATAGGCACACTGAATCTACTTTCTCTAAAAGTAAAGCTGTATCACAATAGCATAGCTAAGTGATCTTGGTGACAAGTGGGAAAAGGTCAGTACCTTGGAAGTCAGGGTGCAGTAAAGAGATTTGTACGCATTCTCCATAAAGGCATTCATCTGCTTCCAGACCAATGGTGGGGGGGAGGCTAAGGGGCTCCTGAGCATAGGAACTGTGACTTTCCCAAATTGATATATGCTGCAGCATGAATACACAGCATGTCCTGAACACTCAGTACCATAAAAAATCATGAAAGATATCTCATCAATAATTAAAGGAAAATCAAATAGCTGTTGAACCCACAATATGTTAAATATGTTAGGTAAAAATAGTGTATTATTAAAATGAATGTGCCTATGCATTTTTACTTTAATGTGGCTAACAGAAAAATTTAAAAACTAGAGGGTCTGTAAAACATTTGTGGAAAATGCATAACATTTTTGAATTCATTTTCCCACAAACATTTGGGACATATCTTCTGTTTTATGCTATATTCCTATTGGGTGTCATCAATCTAGACAATTAGGATTTAACCTAACACTTTCCTGAAATTTAGAATTGCTGTTCTAAATTGGGTGAACAGTGTGCAGGTGGGTTATGCCTTTAGTTTTGTCTGCCTTTAATCTTTCTTGGGTCAAATTTGCTTTCTCTGCTGCTCTACTCTGTTTCTCTCTCCGTCCTTCCCTCCTTTGCTTTTCCCTTCCTTTCTCTTTTTCCCCCATTCTCATCTATTTATTGCTTGCTGAGATTTTCATTTAATCTCCTAAAATTAACAAAAATCATTAGAAAATTCTTGAGATCCTTCTGTGGTCAGTGCTTGAGGCAAAAGGAATCCATGAGATGGAATCAGAAATACTGCTGCAAAGTGATTCTCTGGGTCCTTATCTTTGTGGTTAATGATGTATTCATCTAGGTTCCAATTCTTCTAAATGGAAGGACCCAGTGTCCTTTCAAACACAGATCTACATGGCCATTCTATGCCACTATTTCAGTAGCTGAGAATACAGCAAGGAATATAATAGGAAGGAAGAGAGACTATCATTTTTATTAAACTTAAGCACTTTCGATAGTTAGAAAAGGCAGACAAATAAGTACCTTATCAGTATAGTTTAATCTGTGTCAGTCAATTGCAAAGAAGGAACTAAAAAATAGCATCTTTAACCTGACAGATCTCTCCAGACACAACACAACATACAGAGGGAGACCGTCCTTTCCCAGCCTAGTCTGAAGGATTGAGGGAAGAGAGGCATCAAAGTTGGATAGGTGGGAAAATCAGGAGATTTCCCACCCGATGCACTTGGAGTTGAAAGGAAATTCCAGCATCGTGTTCAAATGGGGGTGCTGAGGCAGACAGAGGAAAACAGGCCCAAAGAGAGCCCACAAAGAGAGCATCAGGAGTATCAGCGAGCTGGGGAAGAGAGGCAAACATGGAGCAGAACAGTCGCTCAGAGGCTGGGGAAGAGAGGCAAACATGGAGCAGAACAGTCGCTCAGAGGGAGGCCAGGGCTCATCTGCGGGTCTTGGGCTAGGTCTGGAGTGTGCTTTTCACTTCTCCTAAGATCAGTTCTTGTGAATGTGCCTACATTCTTTTTAAGGAGTCAGAATGCAATGAATGATGTTTTTGGTGAGCTTTGTTAAACACTGGAGGTGGTAGGAATGACAAATATAAATCTCAGTTTGAATTTTAGGAGAAAAAAATAGAGATGCTTTTTCAGCCTCCATTCTTCTATGTAAATAGCTGGTTTATTAATAGTCTAGATATGAGATCTTTGGTGTGTTAAAAAGAGATGTGGGATTTTGATTATCTAAAAATGTCCTCACCTTACTCTTTACCTTCTTAATTTTGTTTTCCTTGAACTACCATTAAAAATAAATATGCTTTCTTCTGCTACTCATCTACAAATAAGATTGCCAGTGGAAATACTTTACATGCAGACAACAGAGACTTGAGTCAATCTTGACAATGCTTTGGGCACTGGGTGAAACCCTATGAAATAGGGCTCATAAAGACCATTTTAGAAAGGGAAATTAAGGAGCAAATATTCTTGCAAGACTTTTAGACAGATAAAGTGTGTTTAAATGAGTTTTGTGTATGGAATGCATATGCATATTTATTGGTTTTAAACTTTTTGGGATACAACGCAGATGGCATTTGTTTTATAATTTTCCAAGCCATGTTTTCACATTTTACTTTTCTAGTGTTATCTGGTTTCCTTTAATGAGACATGAGTTTCATTTTAGTTGGTTTCCCCTGGAACTCCATAATCTCTTCTGTTTTTCTCCTCTTCTGCTTTAAGAAAGCTAAAGAGGTTTTAATGGACCATTAAACAGCACTGACTCCAGGGAGTCAGAATTTCCTAAGAGCACAATGCAGTTAGTTCCTGGTGGTTTCATACCATCAGCTGCAACACACATTCCTTTCCTTGCCCCCAAAATGAATTGTGGTGGAGAAGTAGAAGTTAAAGTAGAAAACTCTGGGTTTCTCCTGTTAATACTCTCCTTATTCCTTACTACTAAAGGCAGCTGTACCAGATTCTCATTTATACACAGCTACACTATGAAGCAAGAATTCCTGAGGAAATCTACTCTACATGTTAAGCTATGGAAGTAGGTGTATTCTTTTCTTAAATAAAGTCAGTAGGGATTGGGTCTTTTTGGATTTAAACTGGGTTTGTAAGAACTTTTGGACAGTTTCATTGTCATGCCAAAGCCGATCAGTCATTGATAAAAGGATATAAAAAGCGGGAACACATTTGTGCTATTGTTGGTAGGTCTGGTGGGTTGAGGGTCACTTTGTCTCCCCTTGGTGGGAGGGGGAGTGCCCGTGTTCTCAGTCGTCACCCACTCCCCCATGACACCTAGTCCAGCAGTAGCTGCAGGCGGTCCTGTCTGCCACACACCCAGATCAACGTCTCCTAAGGAGACAAGCGCTGGGCACTTTTTCTAGGAGGTGACTCTGCCCTTGCAGGAGGTTATGCCTGCCTCACCTGGGCCCTGCCTCTCCCACAGTGAAACAGAAGGCACTCAGTGGCCTTGATCTCAGAATGCATCAAGAGCCGAGGGCTTAACCCTGTTTCTCAAAGGGAGGGAGTTCTGTAAAGCCAATAACCTATACAAATGGCTGAGGCCAGTACAAGAACTGAGCCCTGGGATTCCCACGCCCTCCTGAGCCTGCCTGGAAGTCAGCAGTTCCGTTTTCTGGGTAAGTTCAGTCTTCGGATCCCTGACTCCTTCCCTGTGTAGGCAGCCCATCCCTTGCCTGTCACTCACAACTCATGCTTTTTATTCCATCTTCTTTATCTAGATTTTTTATGTACCCTCTAAATCGGTGGTGTCCATTTTTGAAATTGAGGAGTGTTTCAGATCCGAGTGAATGCTAAATCCTAGTGTTAATGATGGGATTTTTTTATTTTTCTTTGTAGGGATTCTGTCCACATTTGGAAATGGGTATGTCCTTTATATGTCTTCTAGACGAAAGAAGAAACTCAGACCTGCCGAAATCATGACTATCAACCTAGCAGTCTGTGATCTGGGGATTTCAGGTAACACAGCCCTGCTCTTTGTGGCTCTAACTCCCCCCATTCTACCTCCTGGCTCTGAGACCCCCCCCCCATTTCTCCCTCACAAATCATCTTTACAGAGGTTGTGGTAAGTGCTGTTGGGCTACAGAGATCATTCGTTTAACATCCATTGAGTCTTTTCTAAGTGCCAGGCATCACACCCTATACCTTAGTGTAGTGAACTGAACTATGCAGAAATCAGAAACTTACAGGCAGGAACTGGGCCACTGTTTTGAGCTTGGTTCCACCCACCCACCCTGTTGGAAGGGTGACTCAAATTAGCATCCAGGGGGTGGGGTCTTGAAGAATGAATGACAGTGGAATGCAGCTGTGAGGGGAAAATAAAAAGAGGGTGGAACTCCCCTGTTGATGGTGTTTGTGAGTTAGGAACATAAAGCAGGCACTTGACTGCACAAGAAACCACTAGGGATGTCCGGTACCTTACCCAGAAATTTTGATTTAAGTGTTTAGGAATGTAACTTGGGCTTCAGGGTACTTGAAATTAGAATCTCCAATTGAATAAGCGTGTGGCCAAAATTGAGAATAGCTGGTTTCTTCTTGCTTCTTTTGCATCTCTGATAATTAAACAAGGAAGAGTTGGGATGAAATTTCTCTTTAAATAGAATTCATTTAAAAAATGATATCAGGGTAAGTCCCCTCCCTTCTGTTTCTCCTATAACATTCCAATGTTGCATAGCTGTACTCCAGTATGTCTTTGAATTCCAACATCTGCGATTTAGCTCAGGGTCCTAGGTAATCAGTGTTGGGGAAATCGTGTTGGAACAGCACGCATAAGCTCCTCTTACTCATACAGCTCCTTTCAGCTGTTTTTCATCCAAAGCTCCCCTTTTTAAAACGTCTTCTGACATTTGATTCCCCTTCATAAGTGAGCTTTTCAGCTTCTGCCGATCTCCCCAAACAAGGTTTAATAATAATCCTCCACCCATCTACTCACATAGCAGTAGAAATGTTGCGCTCTTACTGAGGATGTGGGTGGTCTCAGTTACTTGGGAGAGGCTTCACTCAGAATGCACAGGCTTCAATAGCATGAGTTCCTATGTTAAATGCACATTGCTCATTAACAGAAGCATGGCAACATGCCCTTTTCTGTGAGAATAGGATAAACGCTGGGGAATTTATGGTGACAAAATGATTGTCATTTTGGAAATTGCCACACGATGGCGGTGTTGCAACGTCAGAGATAGCTTTCCCAGCGAGCTCATCCAGACGGCCCCTGGAGGTTCTTTCCTGCTACTGAGAGTAAAATGGCGAAGTGAAACCTGTCATTTCAGCTACACCCTTCACCGGTGGGTAATACTAGACTCATGCTTAAGGCCGAATTAGACTAGGCTTGAATAAAAATGCCTTTAATTGGTCTGAAACATTGAAAATGCTTTCAACCAAGCGAGTCAGCTCTGGAAGTGCACAACCCTCCTCATTATTTCGCATGTCTTCACGGCAGTTAATCAGAAAGCGTTATCCTCGGTGCGACAGCTTTCTCTGATTAACCCAGATCAGTCGGAGCATCTATAATGCACTTTCTCTTCCAATAAACCTTAAAAGTTTTGTCTGCCTTATGTTTTTTGCTCAACCACTTTCTATTACAGGCACATTCAAGTAGCACATCCTAGAGACCAAATGTACTCACCAATGCAACAAACGCTTGCTGTCCAAATACTGACAATTGTGAATGCGTATTGCAATAATCTGAGGAGTTTAAGGAAGTATATTGATGCCTGGGGTTGTTCAGGATATCTGGAGACTGGAGTTTTGGGTATCGATATTTAAGGCAAAGCAAAATCAAACAGCCTCTCCTGTGGTTCTACCGCATGGACAGGTTCAGAAGTACTCTACCAAATGGAGAGAGAGACCTACTAGATGGCGTTGCAGCGGTTCACCAAAGCTCTCATTCCAGAAGGAAACGCTAAGAACCTCTTGCTATTCGTGGTCCCAGGCACAACCAACAGTAACTCCACTCCATCAGGTCTTTCCATGTCTCTTCTGCCTGCAGCGCCCACCCATTTGATGGTTACCTCTAGCCTTTCAGTTTGGTGTCTCCTCTGCGAATATGTTCTGGATATTTTCCTGCCTTCTCTCCTAGGGACTTAGGCATCTGGCCAAAGGTCACCTCCCATGTGAAATAGCAATTTTTGTCAATTGTCTCCCTGTGTTGTTCTTCACAGCACTAGTCACACACAAGGTTCCTTAAAATGGGTGGAGTTCACACCTTCTTTCTCCACTGCACTTAATAATCTTTATACCCCTGGAGTGATTCTCACTCTCCTCCTCTTCTGAACTCACAGCACTTAGTTCCCACAGCCTCTCTAATTAGGGCTTCCTCTGGTAACCTCCCTCTAGTACATTTTACAGACATGTAACTTCTAAAATACAAGCTCTCCTCTGTGTGGTAGAAACTAAGTTTCCTTATGCATTATAGGATTCTTTTACTCTCATACTCAGATTCCAGAATGCCCCCATTAGGGGAAGAAGAGTGAGGTAAATGGAAATAACCATTTTGTACCTTCTTTTTTTGGGTGCTTTTTTTTTCTTCTCTTTTTCTTCTTACTTGTGTTTCTCCATCTCTTTCCTTTCTATTGGCTAACACAATTTTGTGAAAATTTTTATTAGAAAAAACAGTGGCATTTGTTTCAGGAATGTATGCTTCAACATTATGCTGTAAATCTACCAACAGCCTGCATTCACGGATTAAATGAGAAAAAAACTAATCACTTCAGTAAATGCAGGGAAAGCATTCAATATAATTTAATATCTCTTTGTGGTTAAAAAAAAAAGCACCTTACCAAAGTAGTATGAGGAAGGAACTTCCCTGTGTGAGGGGGCAGGAAAAATGTTGTACTCTATGATGAAACAGTTAAAGCATTTATTTTAAAGTTATCTGCAAGACATAGATCCCATCTATGATAATTTCTGCTCACTATTGTACTGGAAATCCTGGACATTTTCTACAATAGAAAAAGAAATCAACTGAGTTAAAAATTATAGCCATTGGGAGATCAAGAATCTATGCTGCAGTCTCTCAACAGCCTTTATCGGACTGGAGCAAGTTTTCTGATTGGATATATAAATGGTATACATTTAGTTAAGAATTTTTGTATCAAATTACTCCTGGGTTCAGGACTGATGTCTTATTTTAAGGAATTCTTTCTAGTCTAATGAGACCATACTTTGCAATTGGTGGAGCAGCATTTACAAAAGAATAATTAATGGAATGTCTGCAGCATTCGCTATTGAAACTGATTTGGAAAATGCTGACACACAAAATCAGTTATTTTTCTGATGTTTGCAAATTTTTAGAGGCCAGAATTTTGACTATCAAGAAGCATGTATAATAGGTAACCTTCCTCAATATTATTTATTATGTAAGTATTTTTATTTGTTTTGGAAAATAACTCATCAGATCATTGTTTTGCAGATCTTGGGGTTCTAAATGAGATTGCTGAGGTTGAACAAATCCAGACATGTATTGTCCAAACTCTCATTTCAGTGAATACTTTTTGATCAATCATCTTTGAATATCTAACTTTGAAGGGAGAAAAAAATGGAGTCTTGGGCACTCTGGAGGGGAAATCAGTGTATAAAATTCGTGCTCAGAGAGTTTTCTCTGAGGTTTCATTGTGGATACATTGCCCTTTTCTCTTAGCATTCAAATGAAACATTAAATAAAACATTACAAGTGACCAGAATGTTGTCATTGTCCACTGAAATCATGTTTCCAGTACTTCCTGAAGCTGACACCCTTTAAGACAGTTCTTTATAGTAATATTTCCTCTAAAAATTCCTTCTAAATGATTTTACTTATTTGCCTTTTGAGATGATTGAAAAACTCTCTTGGTAACTCAATCTGTTTATTCAATGACAGTTCTTGGAATTTTGTTAAGACAGAAGTTGTATGTATTGAAGGGTGTGTGTACATGCAGGTTCATGTGTGCTTCTGTGCAACAATGGGAGGAGGGGCCAGGTGAGCTGAGGTCACTGGAGGGCACTTCTCCCTGACAACTTGCTTGGTGCTCTAGTTGTAGGCAAGCCATTCACCATCATCTCTTGCTTCTGCCACCGTTGGGTGTTTGGCTGGATTGGTTGCCGCTGGTATGGATGGGCTGGATTTTTCTTTGGCTGTGGAAGCCTTATCACCATGACTGCTGTCAGCCTGGATCGGTACCTGAAAATCTGCTATTTGTCTTATGGTAAGTTGGAAGGTTTCTCATTCCCTGATTCTGAAAGCTGGGTGGATTCAATATCAATGTTGTATACATTTTACAGAAATGATAAACAAGATCATTAATAACATTAAAGATCAAGAGTATTTCTATTTATAGCTTATCTTGTTCTGATGAATGTTTAAGTATTTGAACCTATGTCCATGTAGATTTCTTTGAATACTCTTTTTATAATGATGTCTGGTATTTTGGCTATAATGCTTTAAAAATATATTTTTCTTGTATAAATTGTATAAGCTTCTAACACGCTTTGCCATGAAGTCAATTGAAATAAAGAACATTAAAAGGATGTTAAGTCCAAGATGTTTATCTGATTCCTCATATAGTAAGTATAATGATAAGAAAAATTGATGGTGATTCTCCCTTATGGTTTTAGGGTCCCTGTGATTTCAGAGAGAAGGAGTTCCTAAAAGTTCACCTCCAAGTTAAAAACCATACAGCTGTTCCTATGTGAAAGGACACACACAGTTAAATATTACTCAATGATTTTTTTGTTATTGTTAGGTAAAAAGATGAGTAAAAGAATTGGTGAAGGTTAACTCAGCAATTAAACACATCTTTAGAACCTAACTATTTTTTAATGGTTAGACAATTAGTGAAATATAATTTTTTGGCACTTTGCTTCTTGAGGTTTTGGGAATTTATTGGGCCCAAAAGAGAAGCACTTTGGACTTTAATATTAAGAACCAGACACAACCAGGGAATAGTATAGATTTCTGGATAAAGCTGCTTTGATTGGCAATCTGCCAATCAGAGTGGCTGAGACCATGGGACAGAGTATGGCCAGGAGACTGAGGTGGAAAAAATCAATTGATCTGTCATGCTCTCAGTGTGGTAGAGTTTTTCTTTATATTTTAAAAGTTTATCAACTCCAAACTCTAAGAAAACCACGCATGGGTTGGTAGGAGGGTCGTGAACTACCATCTTCATGATCCAGCACTCATTTAAAAAAATTCCACTCTTTTTTCTAAACATTTAAAATAACCAATAAAAATAGCCTGAATCAATATTTCCAATATGATAAAAATATCCAATCAGACATATTTTGGATGACATCAGAATGTAATTTTGTATAAACAGATTTTAAATTAAATCATTGATTTTATAGCTGAAGAGGCAAAAGTTCAGTTACCTCAGAGTATTTGAGAAAGATTAAACCTTGATATTTCTGTTCATAAATATTTTATTGAGTTTAGGCTTTGTGTCAGTTAAAGAGATGATTCTGTCTTCTGCCAGATTCATTGCAGAGCATATCCATATGGGAAATGTATATAATTTCAGCTTCTTCTAAGATTGAACCTCAATAGCATGGCTTCCTAATTAAATCTAATGCACGATTAAACCCTCCACACAGTGTTTTAGAAGGTTGGAATTAGAAGGTCACTTGGGGACATGTAGACCTTTCTCCCATATAATGTGGTAAGCTGTTTTAAGGCATCCCTGAGAGGCAACCACTTGGCTTCTTCTTGAATAATTCCAGTGACCAGTGACGGGGAGCTTACTTCTGCACAAGGCAGCCCATTCTCTGATTGGTCTGCTCTCATTGTTACAATGTTATTCCTTATATTGAGACAAAACTGCCTCCCAGTAACCTCCACCCATTGGTCCTAGTTCTGACTTCTGGAGCAACACAGAACCAATCTACTAATCTACTCCCTCCTGTATTGACAGCCTTTCACCATACTCGAATGTAAGTATAAAACACCTCACTAAGTAACCCTAACCATAAATGCTTATATGTATGCATATATGCACATTCCCATAAATATATATATATATGATTATCTGTGCTAATGTTTTATCAGTTATAATGGAAAACCAAGAGCTGACATATATTGTGGCTACCTGATTATTACCCATACCTGACTGGGCTTGAAAAGTTTGCATTTCATTACACAAAGTACCATGTATTTAAAAAACTAAATAAAGACAAGAGTGTAGAAACAATCTAGTTCGTTTCTTGCTTGTGCTAAAGGAGACAAACATACAGGAGTAAAAATTCATGAAGAAGAAGTGCTTTATCGTTTGCAAAGCAGGCCCTTCCATGGTCTCCTTCAGCCCTATCAAAACCTGTAAGCATAATATCTGTTCCTTTATTTTACTACTAAGAAGTCAGGACATCCAGAAAGAGTACATGAGTGAGGTTAAACCCTAGGAATAAGAAGAGTTAGGCCTTACTGACTCCCCAAACTTCACAACACACCAAACAGAGGCAGGCCCTGACTCTATGTTGAAAAAATAATTTAACTTTTATTAAATACAATTTTATATTTTTTCTCTGCTAGTACAAAACAAAAGCAGTAAGGAGCCCCAGAGCCTCTTTATTTGAGGTAAGAGTCACGTGTGCAAGAAATTTGCTGTGTAGGACGCAGCACTATATCAGTCTGAGCTGATGTTGTTGAACCCTTTGAAAAAAAAATCACTAGTGCTTTTCAGCTTATCTTAGATAACTGCACTATTTCTACCTCTTGGAACTCCCTTTTACTTAAGAAATCAGTGTTGGAAAATAAAGCTCTTTTTTTGGTTTTTGGTCTTCTGAAAATATAGTCACAGAATTAACTTTGTAGAACATCATGCCACCTAGTTAGATTCTACCTTTCCCTTTCTGGCCGTGTGAATAACATCTAAAGATTCAAAATATCCACACATCACCATGTTCAGTCAACCACTGTATAAACCTGCAGTGACATGATCACAATCTAACCCCACTCAACAAGTCCCCAGGAAGACATAGGTTATAGACACAAGAGATTTTAGGAAGAAGGGCGTTTTAAAGACACAAGTGACATTTTGTGATTTCTCACCTTGCCCGAAGGATTCCCTCTCAGTTGACCCACTGAGGCTTTTGAGATGTTTTCCCAAGATTTCCTCCACGTCTTCAGCATCCGCTCATCTTTTCCCTTTTCCCAGCTTTTGTCGCTTCTCCTTCCCGAAGCTCCCAGGTGCCTAGAGAAGCCATCCTTGTGAGATCTCTTCAGAATTATTCTCCTGGAGAAAGGCCCAAGCTCTGGAATGCTTCCCCTCTTCAGTTACCTGCCCACATCTCCCAGAGTTCAATGGAATAAATCTTTGGAGGTGGAATTTGATGTATCGAGGGGAGGTGTTTGGGTGTAGGGCAGATTACATCGGGGTAATGCTTTCCTTCCACCTCCAGGGGTCTGGCTGAAGAGAAGGCATGCCTACATCTGCCTGGCGCTCATCTGGGCCTATGCCTCCTTCTGGACCACCATGCCCCTGGTGGGTCTGGGGGACTACGCACCTGAGCCCTTCGGAACCTCGTGCACTCTGGACTGGTGGCTGGCCCAGGCCTCTGTAGGGGGTCAGGTTTTCATCCTGAACATCCTCTTCTTCTGCCTCTTGCTGCCCACGGCTGTGATCGTGTTCTCCTACGTGAAGATTATCGCCAAGGTCAAGTCCTCTTCCAAAGAAGTAGCTCATTTTGACAGTCGAATCCATAGTAGCCATGTGCTTGAAATGAAACTGACCAAGGTAACTTCAGCAATAATTCACGGAGGGGTTTTCTTATCAATTAAAACTCTTAAGGGAACGAGGATGGGGAGAAAACTTCGTGTCTCCACTACTTATGTACTTCTGATCTTTATTATTATTTATTTAAGCCTTTCTAAGTGTCTCTTCTCTCTTCTTTCTTTCTCTATTGCTGTCTCTATCTCTATCTCTCCACTCCCTCTGGTTCCCTCTCCCTCCCTCTCTTTTTTTCTCTCTTCTTCCTTCTTACACACAAGCACTTTTCATATCTACCAAAATTTGTATAATGGATCCAATGGGTGGAAATTTTCTCAAATGAATAGAGAATGATTGGTTCTTTTTTTTAAAAAAGGTTTATTTGCAAGGCAGAGATACAGAGAGGCAATTCACTTCCCAAATGGCTGCAACAGCTGGAACTGGGCTGATCCGAAACCAGGAGCCAGGCGCTTCTTCTGGGTCTCCCAAGTGGGTGCAGGGGCCAAGCACTTGAGCCATCTTCTACTGCTTCCCTAGGCCATAGCAGAGAGCTGGATCAGAAGTGGAGCAGCTGGGACTTGAACTGGCACCCATATGAGCTGCTGGCCTTGCAGGCAGCGGCTTTACCTGCTACCTCACAGCACTGGCTCCATGAGAATAATTGATTCTTAACAATTAATTTGGTAACAAAAATAAATATTATGAATCATGTACTTATACTTTTTCATGGACTTTGGTGGGTATCATTAGCAATATTCTACCACTTGAATTACTTATGGAGTATGAGTTTACCACACAGAGTTTCTCACGGGATGCTTAACACAAGAGAAATTTCTGAGTGTTGAATACCTTGGTGAATGTTAGTTTCAGAGCTGGCAGTTCTTTAGATATTGTGGTAGAAGGAAAAGAGCAAAAAAGTTGACAACAGACTAGGGTTTTAATCTCATCACTGACACTTGCCAGGTCTGTGACCCAGAGCTGGATACTTTGATTCTTTGGATCTCTATTTTCCTAACTTGTGTAAGAGGAACAGTAGCATCCATGTCACTGGTTTATGATGGAGATTCAATAAGAAGCATGTTATTTTGTCACCCCATATATAGTATGTATTAACAAAACTGTAGGTTCTTCTTTTCTCTTATTCCTTTTAGTAATCCTTGGTAAAGTCTAAAGCAGTGGTTATCACACTTTTATGATATTCCAACCCTGTATTGAAACAGTACTTTTCAGAACACATACCTTCGATACAGGTGATATATAGGTTTTTTTAAAACTTTTATTTAATTAATATTAATTTCTAAAATACACCTTTTGAATTATAGTGGCTTTCCCCTCCCATAACCTCCCTCCCACCCGCAACCATCCCATCTCCCACTCCCTCTCCCATCCCATTCTTCATTACGATTCATTTTCAATTATCATTATATACAGAAGATCAACTTAGTATATACTAAGTAAAGATTTCAACAGTTTGCACCCACAAAGACACACAAAGTATAGAGTACTGTTTGGATAGTAGTATTACCATTAATTTGCATAGTACAACACATTAAGGGCAGGGATCCTACATGGGGAGCAGGTGCACAGTGACTCCCGTTGTTGATTTAACAATGACACTCTTATTTATGATGTCAGTAGTCACCCAAGGCTCTTGTCATGAGCTGCCAAGGCTATGGAAACCTCTTCAGTTCGCCAACTTTGATCTTGTTTAGACAAGGCCATATTCGAAGTGGAAGTTCTTTCCTCCCTTCAGAGAAAAGTACTGCCTTCTTTGATGGCCCGTTCTTCCCGCTGGGATCTCACTCATAAAGATCTTCATTTAGGTCATTTTTTTTTTTTTTGCCAGAGTGTCTTGGCTTTCCATGTCTGAAATACTCTCATGGGCCTTTTAGCCAGATCCGAATGCCTTAAGGTTGATTCTGAGGCCAGAGTGCTGTTTAGGGCATTTGCCATTCTATGAGTCTGCTGTGTATCCTGCTTCCCATGTAGGATCATTCTTTCCTTTTTAATTCTATCAATTATTACTTGCAGACATTGGTCTTATTTATGTAATCCCCTTGACACTTAATCCTATCTTTTTGATCAATTATGAAATTAAACTGATCACTTAGGTAACATCATTGAACTGTATATTAACTATTAGCATATAAAATTAAATATATGCTAAATTTGTAATCATCCTTCTTGTATCCTAATTGGTCATGTTGATTGATCCCCAAGTATTCTCAGAGCCCCTTTTGGAGACCACTAGTCCTAGGCACCAATAATAGCATCTTCCCTCCAGAATGAAGGTGGCTTCATATAATAGGACCTTGATGCTAGCAATATCCTTCTTTCCAAAGTGAAGAGTTTTTGAAGTTGTGCAAAGATCTCTCAGTTGAACAGTTTGAACTAGAAATTCTTGATTGTTCCAGCTGATCCTTATTCTCTAAATCCTACTGTAAGTAAGAGGAAGCTTTGAGGGATGTTTCCATCATTCTAAATCTATTTTAATAACGTTATAACAGAATAATTCTAGGATTAAAAATGCATCATCTGGAATAATGATCTCCTTTCTGTCTTATAACTGGCTGCAAGGAAGGCAAATATTTCCATAAAATACAGCATTGTGAATTAGGTTCTTAATTTCTAGCTCTCCCTTTAGCTCTTATATGTGAATTAAAAATTTTTTAAAAATGTATTTGTATGGCAGAGCAACAGAAGGACAGACACGCTGCACAGAGAGAAAACACTCCTATTTGCTGGTTCATTCTCTGAATACTTGAAACAGCTGGGACTGGGATGGAGCCAAAGGCAGGACCTGGAGCTCAACACAGGTCTCTCACATAGATGGCAAGAACCCAGCTACTTAAGACTTCACTGCTACCTCCCAGGGTCCACATTATCAGGAAGCCAGAGTTAGGAATTAAAACTGGGAATTAAACCCAGATACCCTGAATGTTGGACACAGGACACACAACTTAGTGTCTTAACCACTAGGTTAAATGCTTATTCCTTCTCTGTGATTTTTAAAAAATGAAATTTGTACAAAGTAATTCAAGTTAAATTTGAATTGTATTTAAATTATATCCAACTTTATACAAGGTACTGTTTTAGGAACTGGGCAAATGCACCAATGATAAAATTTTCTCTTTTAATAGTTGATGGGATTCCCAATTATGTCTGGGGAAACCATGTGAGGCCCATGGCAATGGTAAAGTGGATTTAAGTTTACCTTGCAGTTCTGTTGTTTGACAGCATAAAGTTGCTGAGTGGGCTCATGCAACATTCTATTCTTTGCCTCTGCTTCTATGTCTTCTTGCCATCTTGCCCGGGATGCTATTGGTCTAAAATACTGTGATGGTCTTGCTTAGTGCATCTGGGTCCTTATCCCCGTGAGGTCCTTTTCTATTTTCTCTGATTCTGTGACACATCATCTTCTCTCCTGTTAAGAATTGATCAACTCAACCCACTCATATTCTAGCATCTTGTTCGTTTTGTGTTTGTGAAGGGTGGCCAACTTGTTTAGTCCACACATCTGAAACTCATTACACATATAGGGTGTTGTTATAATTTATTATATAATTTATTCTTTCTATCTTTATGCTTGAATTGGACTGTGTAGATCAAGTAGTTAGGCTCAGCCTAAATCAGATTAATCAAATGGATGTCAGACGAAAAGTATAGGAATATATATATATATATATGATTTTGTTTTACATATAGGTGTATATTACTCTAACATATCCTGAATGACATCGGCTAATATATTATATAATATGTCCATATTTCATTTGTATATGTCAAACATATATAAATAACCAAAATATAAAATGTTTCTAATTATTAATGCTTGTGCAAAAATATACATCAAAATTCAACTATATTGAAACACTAAGTACAACTTTTTATTATGACATCTTCTGTACTAAATATGAACAGTTTTCAATTATTACTCAATTTTGACCTTGATTTTCCCTTTTGGGTAGTAGCAAGTAGAAACAACCTCACACTGGGCCTTTTTATAGTCTCAGGATTCTTTTCTCCTATTCAACTACTGCTCAGGACTATCAGTTTGAATGGTCCTTTGGTACCTCTGATCTTCATAATAGACTGATCTAAAAGCTTATTACTTAAAGGCTATCTTCCTTTGTTTTGGGATCAAAAGTTATGTAGCATTTTTGTGTACTCTAATTATTTCTAGTTAGGTTATTACCTGAACCTTCATTTTGCCAGTTTGATGCTATCAATCTAAATACTTGCATTCCATCTACAAACCTTTCTGGACTTTTTAGCTTCCCTCTAATTGATTTTTTAAAAAAATGATGGTTCTGCTGGGATTTTTGTAGTAGGCTGAAATCACAGACAATAAATAGTAGGCTGAGTTTATAGACAATAAACAAAGGTATAAATCCATATATATAAATATATAGAGATATAATACATACATGTCGCTCCCCCTCTTAGCGGAGGAAAGACACAGGACCCTGCGCTGTTCTTTTGTCTGCTCGGCCCTTCCCGGGTTTGCTGCTGGTTCTTCCCGGGTTGGCTGCCGTCCCTCCACCTCCGTGGAGGGGCGGGCCCCCCTGCCACTTTCCCCACTTCCGTGGGGGAGCGGCACACCGCTGGCCGGCTCTCTCGGGGGCTGCTCAGATGTTCCTCAGGTGTTCTTGGTGCATGTTGTCTCTCTCCTCCTTTATAGTCCTCTTCCACCAATCCCAACTCTGCTACCCACACGCCGAGTACGCTGCCCTCCTCCAATCAGGAGCAGGATCAGCTCCTGCAGGTCATCACTCAAGTTGGCTCGAGGCAGCTGCGTAGAAGCTGTTTACTCCTCTCTCAGCGCCATATTGTGGGAGAGCAGATGCATAGAATAAGTCTTAATTCGAGTAACTTAGTCTAGTCCGAGTTGCTCCCCACACACATATATATATATGAACTATGTCTCCAAAATATTCTTGGCAAATGAAAATTCTGTGCATAGATTTAAAAACTTTTTGCACCAAAATAAATTTATCTTTTAATTGCATTTTTACAATTTTTATGTA